CGCCTCTCGTTGGGATGATGTATGAACTCACTCTAATTTGCTTATGAATCAATAAACTTACTATTATTCATCAAAAAAAACAAATGACATAGCAGTCTTATAACACATCATATTTATCCAAGAAATTAATTACAGAAAATCTTTAACCATAACCATAATAAGGATTCAAAAAACACAATTTCAAGGAACCTAGAGAAGCTTAGAAAGCTGAGCTCAAAACTAGGGCTGTCAACAGACACCAAAAATCAGAAATCCAGTCTGACATGTGACATCCAATCCAATTATCCCAGAATCGGATGATCTGTTTACATAATTGGATCAGATTTTGGATTTTACGAACTGCATCCGATTAATAATTGTATCAGATGCAGATTTAACTCCATCTGATCTGATTAAAAATCCGAAACCGATTATATTATAATATATAATTGATTTTAATATAAAATTTATTTAATAATAAAAATATAATTTTAAATATTTTAGTATTTTACTATATATAAATTTATATATATATATATAATAAATCCAACATTTCATATTTAGATGTGTTCATGGGCCGGGCTTTGGGCCAGAAATTATAACAAAAGCTAAGCCCAAGCTATATATATATATATATATATATATATACACACCGTAGTATTTGAATCCAATCCAAGATCTTCAAATCCAAATGGATTTGGATTTCAGTTGTCATTAATCAGACCAGATTTGGCTGTTGCTGAATCTGATCCATTTAYAGCCCTACTGAACACTGTACAAGAATGAATTATGATGTGATTATAKTTCCTTTTCCTGAATGTCACTTTTGGAACCGCAGATCCGCATCTGCCTAAATACCAACAAGATTGGTTCATATTGAATAAAAGTTCCAATGTCATTCTTTTCTAATTCTAGTCACCATAGGATTTGAATCCAATCCAAGATCTTCAAATCCAATTGGATTTGGATTTCAGTTGTCATTAATCAGACCAGATTTGGCTGTTGCTGAATCTGATCCATTTATAGCCCTACTGAACACTGTACAAGAATGAATTATGATGTAATTATAGTTCCTTTTCCTGAATGTCACTTTTGGAACCGCAGATCCGCATCTGCCTAAATACCAACAAGATTGGTTCATATTGAATAAAAATTCCAATGTCATTCTTTTCTAATTCTAGTTTAAAAGTCCAAAGAATAAGTGCTTGATTAAGCAAAACCCAACATTCTTAGAGTTATGATCATTGACCAGTTGCTTAGTAGGGATTCTTCTTCTGTCTTCATAGAACATTCGAACAAAAAAGAGAATGTAATCAAATACCAACTACTGTTTTTTTTTTTTTTTTTTGATAACGAAACACCAACTACTGTAACATATTATTAGTTATTAATATAGCCTCCCCTAAAGGACATTTCCCCAATATTCAACAAAAGAATTAGACAAAACTAAGATTGCCCTTAAAAGTGTATAAAAAGCAGCAATTAGTTGGCTTTCCTGACTCACCCCCCAACGTATTTCCTTCTGGTTTATCAGCTTAGATGTATCTTGGCTGCTTCCAAGCAGGGTTACCACATCGGCATCATCAGAAATTGTGCTTGGTTGACCAGGTGAAACTGTCAAAGGATGATTAGAATTTAGAAGTGAATATGCCGAGTTAAGAATTTAGAAAAAAAAAAAAAGAAAAGAAAAGAAAACAGCCAAAAATTAAAACTGAAAAAATTCAATCAACATAATCTTGTTACATTTTATTACAACTCATTTATAAATGCTATCAAATTGCAGGTGACTTAAATAAAAAAAAAAATGCATGAGACATTGTACCTTCAAAATTAATATGCTCATTGATTATTCCAAGAATAGTAATCGACTGTGATTTCTGTAGATATTGCACAAGAAGTTCGTACGAGTACTGATGAGAAAAATAAGTCAGTATCTGGAACTTCTAGAGAAAACACAGACAATTTTATCTTTTTTTTTTTTTTGAGAGAGAGAAAGGTAATGTATTATAAACAGCAAAAAAAGATATACAAATCCCTGCTCAAAAAGAAATTGAAGCAAGGCAAGGAAACTAAAGAGATTATTACACTTCTGATCTAGATACAAAAAGATTTCTATGGTCAAAAAAAGAACTGAAAGATATATACTTTAGCTGTCTATGCACTGCAGTCCATGAGTAAATTCTTCCCCATAAGTTTTTTAAAATTGTATCCTCTGTATTGTATTTGTTTTCAAAGATTCTCCTATTTCTCTCCAACCAAATAGACCAAATCACTGCTGCCGGAATCACTTCCCACAAAACTCTCCCTCTCTTGGACAGACCCTTAAGCTTCCACCACCACAACAAGGAGACCAGGTCCTTTGGGAAACAGAAGCTAACTTTGAACAGCCCCAAAGCTTTCCCCCAGATCATACTAGCAATCTTACAGTGAATGAAAAGATTCTCTGCATTTACTGAAGCTAAGCTACATCTGCTTGGCTCCACCACTAATCCCCTTTTTGCCAATGAGTCTGCTGTCAGGCATTTTCCGAGAGTGGTTGTCCATAACAAAAAAAGCTACTTTAGGTGGAACAACAGACTTCCAAACTCTCTGCTCTGGGAAATTCCCTTCCTCCTCTCTGTTTAAACTTTTATAGGAGTTAACAGAGAAAACCCCCGAGTGATCTCCCACCCAGATTCTTCTATCTGGCCTAGAGAAATCTGGTCCGAAAGAACTAAGGGCTTGCATAAACTCCATCCAGTGGGCTATTTCCCAATCATTCAGGTTTCTTCTGAAAGTGGGACACCAGTCTCCTGTAACTCTATCATGGGAACCTCATCCAGCAAAGGTTAAAGATTAAAGAAAATGACAAGTGTATGAGTCTGCACCTACTGGAACAAATAAGAATCTGCTCTTACAGATACAGATCCACAATAGAAACCAATATAAAGTAATATTCCTGAGCATCTTAATTGCACTGATGTGTATTGATGTATGTTATAAAATATCATCATAATACATACATATGCCTCAACACCCAAAAGTAAACAAGAAGGGATTGGTCTAAAAAAAGTTGGAACAAAAAAAGAATTCTAAATAAAAATTTATTGAAAAAATAATACAAATTCTAGTAAATGTTACCTTGTCTAGTTATTTAGTAATATCATATATAGGTCTATAGAAGATATAATATAAGGTGAGGTATAAAGATGATTCAAAACAGAGTGAACATTTGACCTAACTAGAGAGTCCCCTGTCCAACAGATGATTTGGACCAGTAGCAGAATTCCTTTGCATGCTAAAAAAAAATGTAGGACCATCTAGCAAGGTTTTCTACATAACCTGATTAGGAAACAAAGCCATATTCATATGTGTAGATATATGTCTCATATACACAACCCCTTTCTATGTATACACAAGCGTATGTGTGTGTGTAAAGATAGGAGAGGGGGAGAGAGAGAGAGAGAGAGAGAAAGGTTAAAGCATCTACAATTATTTGAGCATTTTGGGTCATACCTTAAAACTAACCTACTAACGAGATCACATCTGCACCCCACAGAGGGTGCCCCACATGCACATCTCAGTGTGCATTGGGATTTGGGAACATCCCCCAAAGTTGTCAGTGGGAGATGTTCCCAATACACGGTTGGGATATGCTGTGGGGCATTTGTGGGGCGCAGATGTGAATTCCCTACTGACAGGCACTTCAGTACCAACAATTTAATTTATCTCAAAATATAAAGAGGGGGGAGAGAGAGAGAGAGGGAGAAGGGAGAACAAAGTCTTCCAATTAACACTTTTTTGCCTTATCAAATGACAAAAGAATGAGATACAAAATAGAAAACTAAAAAAATATTGCCCCAAAAAAGAAAAAGTAGAAAACTAAAATATCAATGTTTTCTTGGATTTAAAGATCAGATTTAATTATGATACCACATAAAAGAAAAATAAAATCCATATGATGGAGGGCAATTATTTTATATGTTGTCACCAACATCCTAATGTAATTATTCATCTTCTTCTGATAAATAAATAAATAAACATATATATACGCATATTTATTTATTTAGAAAAGATAATTCACAAACAAGTCTTAACTAAGACAAAAACAATATATTAACAATACTGACTACCTCTTGCTCTCGGAGGAGATAGCCTCCAAATAACTTGTTCCTCCCAACTCCACCCTGGCAAGGCAATCTGCCAATGAGTTTAGTCGATCATTGGATCCATCTAAATAAGATGTTCACCTAACACTAGTGGTCTAGCCTTATTCCCATGTACTCTATTTTATGTTTGCCTGTCCATGTTGTTTTCTAGTTTTGCATTCATGTGTTTCTGTCTCTCCTCTTCATTTTGGTTTCCTCCCTTCCTTCTAGTGAAGTTAATGTCATTGGTTAAAGTGAAATTTCCATGAATTCTCATAAACTTTGTAACTCCAATTGAAGAGGACCAAATTCAATGTAATCTTCATACCACCAACCACTACTTGGGAGGGGATTACATAGTTTGAGAAGAACTAAAGGAAAAGAGTACCTGACACATCTTTATACTAATTTTGCTCTGCCTCAAAGAATGAGCAAATTCCATCTCCTGGATGGAAGTAATGATTAGAACAAAATTAGAAGCTTAACTTCATTAATTTAATTAAAAATATAATGATTCTAAACAAACGTTGAGAACAGTTGATTTAACCTCCAGATGTGAGGGCGAAAGAACACCTTCCAACTTTTGAAGGTCCCTTAAGTGCATCAATTCATGGTCTTCACGAAAGCTATTGAAAAATGCTCGAGCTAGGAAAACAGATAAAGTCAGATCCAAACAAAAACTACTTATCTGAATCAATGCCAAGTTGCCAACAATTTTCAGAAATTACCTTCTTGGGTATGCCCCTTCGCCACAAGATCCATAAAACAATGAATAAATACAGGATAAAGCACACGAAGCAACTCATGCTGCACAATGCAATAAGAATGGTATAAATTCATATAGACATGACATATGTCTAACAAGAAAGTGCACCTGCACAGCTTTTATCAAGTCTTAAATGGTACAATGTAGCTGTCATTTAACAAGACTTGGTAAAACATCATAAAAAAGACATAGAAGAGCTACATAAGGATGAGGGAATGGAGAACACAAATACATCATATGTCTTCATTTTCATCTACTACCTTGTTCATTGATATATAAAGAAACTTGCTTTGGAATAACAATCTCAATTATCAAGAGTTAGGGACCATTAGGTAACAGATAAAATTGTTGAACTGAATGGCTTATTGGTTTTTTAGTGAATAAGTTATTAAGGATGTTGTGAGCTCCTTAATGGCTGAAACTAAAGTTGGGTTGATTACCATATTCTGAAATATTTTATTATTGAATTATTTTATCCACTAAAAGACAAAACAATGAGTAATCAGTTCAGCCACTTTAGCCATTAGAAAATGGCACTTAGAGGCATTATTAATTGAGTGGTGTTCTTAGCTTGTTTCCTTTCTTTCTCTTTTTCCTTGGTGGGGAGGAAGTGTGTGGTAAAGTGGGGAGGTTAGGTTCCATGAATAAAAAGGCAAACAAGTTGACAGCAGATAGTTTAGATAGGCAGTCTTTGTTCATCTGCAATAATCTTGAGATGTCATACTCTTTCCCAGTAATGCAGCCTACACCATGATAAAATAAAAGGGAAGTTATAATCTTGTTATGTTTGTGTCTATTAAGATATAGCACTTAGCCCAATCCTTTAGAGAAGGCCATATACCTACACTATATGAGGAATACTGCAACTCTGCAAGTGCAAATTGATCCATTGCACATATACATCTTATTAGCTAGAAGTTCCTTATAAATTATAAAAATCTTTACAAGCAAAGATAACACTATGTTTGTTAAAGATATTCAACTAAGGGCATTTCAATCTTTCCACAGTGAATATATGGGTTGGTTAGTAGTAATTGTGTAGGGGTGATTTTTCTGATCAAACAAAAGCATTTTATTAAAAACGTGTAGGGATAATTTTGTAATTCTAGTTTGCAACTATTACAGTCAATCAGATTAGGATGGCCCTTTTCTTCTCCATGCTATAGTCCTCTTTCTCTTCTTTTTCTTTCACCTCCTCTTTTTTTTTTATTTCTTTTTGAAGGGCTACACAATGGGGGGTAGCCCACCCTCCAACCCAGGTGCAGACAGGATTCAATCCCAATTCTGTGCTCCGACCAGCAGGAGACCTTACCAACCAGCTGGTTGGCACCTTGCCTTCTCTTCTTTCACCTCTTCTCTTCTTTTCCATTCTCCGTCTCCTATCTAATTTTGCTAGTCTAGCAAGGCTACTTAAGATGGTATCAAAGCAGTAAATAACCAGATCCAACACTTCCTTTTTTTTTTTTTGCGTGTGTGTGTGTGTGTCTCAAAAGGGGAATCTATTCATTCTTCTTTACTTTTCTTGGGATTGATCTAGGGTCCTCTGGAGGTGTCACTCATCTATTCTCTCTTGCTGGATACAGCAACCAAAATGGTTGGCTGAGGTTACTTTCTTCCCCACAAAGTAAATACCTATGAGCAAGGTTTAAAGTATCAATATGATACTCCCGATACGGAATGTATTGTATCCATATCCATGGCCATGGATACAGAATACGTCATGACTAGGTTCTTATATCACAAGTCGTGTGTATCGGCATGATACACCTCCATATCAGGCCATATCACATTGTATCAGTGGATACGGTCTGATACAGAATCGTATCAGTGTTAGTTTAACAAAACTGTACAATGGCCGTTTTTGGATTGTTTTTGAACTTTAATAAAAATTGTAGATTATAATTATAAAAACTGAAATAAATAATTTAAGATTGAATTTTCCCAAAAATTTAATAAGAACTGAAAGTTATAAAAAAACTATTTTATCAACCTTCAATGATTTATATAAAGAAGAGAATCAATATGTGTTGAGTGGATAAAATTTTGAGTTCTTCCATGCTTATCAATTCAATTTTTGAAATATTCAAGGGTTCAAAGCAGTATCCATGTTGATTGAACCCTAGAAAATGAAGAAAAAATAATAAAAATAGAGTAGTATTTTAACTTAAACTGAATAATTTAGTTTAATAATGTCTATTTTATTATTATAATCTCAAAAGGTTAAAAATATAATAGCAACCAAAAGCACCGTGTAAAAAATATTTTGGCGATTAAGCAAGGCAACCGACCCTCCATAAGCACCTTCTAACCTAGGTATCGCCTTGACAACCATGAATGAAAATTTCTCATTCATACAAGAAAAGGAGAAAAAAGAAAAATATATATATATGCAAAAATGCCTTTAAAGAATCCATTAATTATTGGTATCCAACACATGCCTGACATAGACACATTGTTTATTTAGGAGAGTCCATGCAACATTGCAAAAAATCCATGAAAAATTATGTCTTGGACATGATTTTGATGAAAACAGATGCTATCAAACAGACTTAGTTACCTTATATAGATCCAGTGAGCTATATGTCCATGATCTTAGCTTGCTATATCCATCTTGATACTGTGCTGGACCACTCTCTGATCTGACAAGCAATAAATTCCATCAGAATGGTAAATGCATGTATTGTGATTAAAATCGCCTGTCTTAGACTAACGGGAAAACAATAATACGCCATTGAATTCTAGTTCAAACACTGCCTACAATGTAATAGAATGCAACAGGGGGAGGAAGAGAGAAGAAGAGGGGAAAGAAAGGAAAATAAAGGAAAGAGGCACGCAAGATTCTGCTTGAAACATTGAAACTAAGAAATGAGGAAACAGAATTACAGAAAGGACAAAATTGAGTTAGATGGCTTCATAAATGAGTACAATCCTATGGGTGTTAATGTTAGAACAAGAAAACACTTTCAAGTAGTCCTCTCAGAAGACTTCAAGAAAATCTAAAATGGCCCAAACACATCGTCAGACTAAAAGATGGTGAACCTTAAACACATGAAAGTTCAGTTTTCGGTGCAGTTTCAAGAGATGCTCATAGCAAAGTGAATTTTTTCACTCTGTATAACTTGCTTTGGAATATATGCATGTAAAAACACAATACAATCATCCTCAAGTTGGTACTGAGTCTTAGTTTCACAGCATTTACATTGCTTCCTATGGAAATTACACAACCGAAGCCATTTTCTTCAACTTTATTAAAATTTCACGGTGAGAATGCTATCTCAAGGTCAGAAGAGCAGAATATTCCAGTACAGGTCGCCTGGTGTAAGAATGTTCCAACCGAGGTGGCCTTCTGTTTGGCTGGCCTGCCTGAAGAGACTCTTTATCAGGGACAATTTGGTTAGAAAAGGGATGCAGTTGACATCCACTAACTGTGTCATCCGTGAGGCTCAAGATGAATCACCTGATGCAGTAGGAGTATAGGGGGTTTAACCTTGAAAGGAAAATTGGCTTGGAACATGGCGCCTGCAGCTGTTAAGCTGTTTTTGGGTGTTTATGGCAGGAAAGAAATGCAAGAACCTTCAAGAACAAGAGAAGCTCTCCCAACACTGTTTTCAGAGAATAGTGGGCAAAATGATGTCATGGCTATCCGTAAACAAATTGTTCAAGGATAGGAATTACGACTCTTTTTTTTTGTACATGAGAATATCTTTCTGTAAAGCAGGGTGGGGGTGGTATAGGACTGCTTGGGCAGTGTTTTATAAATCCCTGTATACAGCATCTTGGTGTACATATTTTTGTTTTCTTTTTGTTCCTTTAATGACATTACACTTTACCTGTTTCACATATATATATATATATACATATATATATTAAGAAAGCTGGCTTCTTGGAAATCAAGATTTTCATCTAAGGGGACAGAATTACTTTAATTAAAAGTGTTCTTCCAAGTTTGCCAGCTTATTACATGTTCATCTTCCCTATCCCAGGTGTGGTGGCTGATGGATTGGAAAAATCCATGAGAGATTTTTTGTGGTCAGGTTGGAGGAACTCTAATAAGATCCATTTCGTTATATGGGAGAAGGTTTGCAAGCTGATCAATTGCGGTGGGCTAGGAATTAGAAGGGTGAGGATATTTAATATTTCTCCTCTAGGGCACTGGCTTTGGAGTTTTTTTTTCTGATAAATGAATGGTAATTTATTCAGACATAATAAGATAATGATACAAAAACAGACTGCCCGAGGAGAGGCACGAGCTGGTACCTCTCCTTACCAACAACAAAGTATTACATTGAGCTCAGAAAAAAAGATTACAGAGCTGCCCAGAATAGAAGTTCCCTTGCTACCCCTTGCTTAGCTAACCCATCCGCTATGGCATTAGCTGTTCTACCCACCCACTGAGAATTGACAATCATGTTCCTTGAATACCACTTAACTTTTCTCATAATGTCCCTGTAGCACCAAATAACTGAATCTGGATTCTTTAGCCAACCCACAACAACTTTGGAATCTCCTTCAATAAGCAAATTCTGAACTCCTAACTGATTTGCAATCTGAATACCTTGTACCACCGCTAGAAGCTCAGCTCTAATACACTGGCGTTGGAGATTCTCTACTGAAGATGATAGTCTTTGGACGAAATTCATTGTGGATAAGTGTGATCTTCAAAGTAATGGCTGGGATGCAGCTGTCCCTGATTCTCCTTATGGTTGCAGCCTCTGGAAAGGAATTTGCAAGGTTTTTCCCCATTTTATTAAAGGGATAAAGTATAAGGTTAGGTTCTGGAGAGACCTGTGGTGTGATGGTTCATCTTTGAAATCCTTATCTCCTGAACTGTATAGCATTGCCAGTAATAAGAATGCTACAGTTGCCGACTCTTTTGACAATGAAAACAAAGCTTACCCATTTGAGCTCCCTCTTTTTTTTTTTTTTTTTGATCGGCAACACAGAAAAGATTCATTAAATTAATAGAATGTGTACAACAAGAAGTTGTGGGTAGACAAAGTCCACAATCCACATAAACCCCACTAATTACCATACAGACCCAAGCTTTACCCAACAAAGAAATTCATTAGTTACAAACAAGCCCTAAAGGACCCAAAGGAAATCCCACTATCTATAATATAGCCCAGAACATAGATTGTCTTTGAACTCCTTGCTTAGCTAGACCATCAGCTATGCTATTAGCTAATCTCCTAATCCATCTTATGTAAATTTCCATATCTTTAGAAGCCTGCTTAAAGCGCCTGAACTCATTTCTTAATCTCCAGATTGTTCCTTCCTCTTTTTTCAGCCAGTTTAAACAACCTTTGAGTCCCCTTTAACCGACTTGTTTATCCCCAACTCCTTAGCTTTCTCAATACCAAATACTGCTGCCTTCAGTTCTGAATTCACCACATCACCATGCTGGATAGGGCCTGTGAACATGGCAATGATATTTCCATTCTCCTCCCTTATTACCCCACCAATGCCCGATGGGCCAGGGTTTCCCAAACAGCTACCATCAAAGTTTAGTTTCTTCCACACAACATCCGGAGGAGACCAAAATTCAGATACAATAGGTCTTCTAGAAGCAATGTTTGCAATTGTTCCCATGATCTGAAGAGCAATGTTTGCAATTGTTCCCCATGATCTGAAGAAGTCTTCTGTCTTAAAATCTGCCCTGAAGAAGTAACGGCTCGTGCCTCTTTTGAGTTTCCCGTACTGCCTTTTCTGAATTAATAAATTATATTCATTCATCAAAAATAAAAAATCTGCAAATATTTTCGAAGTTTTCACCCAATGTGCCACCCTTATGGCTATCACCTCAATCACAGCATCTCTACCTCTTTCCTTATCATCAAATATCCTCAAATTTCTTTCCTCCTAGATTGTCCAAGCCACTGCTGCTCTAGTGCATTTTCCCATCACTTTGCCTCTCCTTTTAGAGCACCTGAATATGTTGGAGCTAAAGAGATTTTCCAGATTAGCAAGAGGATTCCAGCTGCAACCAAATAGAGAGGAAAACCACTCCCAAATAAAGTTAGCAATAACACTGCCCCTGCTGAGCCACCATGTCCAATAGGTCCTCAAAGAAGTTTCATTACATCTCCATTAAGTTCTTGAAGACTAGGGGTGCAATCAAGCCAAGCTAAGCCGAACTTCTGTATGTCTAAGCCAAACTACTGAAGACTCCATCAATCCCTACATTCCCAGGGTTACCCAAACTACAGCCATCAAAGTTCATTTTAATAAAGATGTGTGTAGGAAGGAAGTCAAATATCAATGAATGGAATAGTAAGCAAAAATAGGAATAGATATTAAGCAATTTTCCACCCCCACAACCATTGCTTCTTTTGATGGACTTTTATCTTAAAAATTCTTACATTTCTTTCTTCCCAAGTTGTATGAAACAAGCTACCCAAATCTACTAGGGGAGTCCACATACATCAAAATAATGAATAGAAAAATCTTAAATTGCAGATACAAACAAACATGAGATTAGTATTTAGTAAACAAAAGGTGGTTTAGAAACTTGCTCGACAAAGAATTCACATGTGGGGAGAGATACCTATTAACCTTCTCTTATAAATATACTTAAAAGTGATGATTTTAACATATACTACCTCCCAAGTCCCAACAAAAAGCCCAAACTAGGGCGGTATCCATCACTACCAAACAGCTTAACCAGAAAGATCAAGAGGGAGTTGGGGTCTGAAGAAACGGTCTTGAGGAATGAAGCATAAGAAAAAAGACCCAACTTGCTAACTAACCAGTTTCTACTGTCATTCTAGGTGGCATCTAAGAGAAGGCTATCTAAAGAACCAATAAGAACAAAGACATTGAGATTTTTTTGTATCTTCTGAAGGACTACACAAATGGGGGCTAGACCATCCCCCTACCCATAACCCCCCTAACCCAGGTGCAGACGGGGCGGGATTCAATCCCAAGTTTCCACTACGACCAGCAGAAGACCTTACCAACCAGCTGGTTGGCACCTTGCGCAAAGACATGGAGATTTATTTTTTCCTTAATCCTTTTTTTAGGCCAAAGTTCCAAACAAACCCTTGATCAGCCAAGGACACAATGGGATACCTAAGATTCTGTGGGAGGATAAAGAGTAAAAAACTATGAAAACAACCTTTCCTCCCAACCAAAAATTAGTCCAAATTTTGATTATAACACCCAAATGCATGCCATACCAAATGTTGGAGGAATAAGTGAGAGATGGAGAGAAAAGCTTTCCAAGGAGAAGTATGGATAGCTCTTAACTCATGTCTCATCCATTGGCCAAGAGACCATGGATGCACTTAATTAAACATGCCACAAACTGTTCAAATCCAACAGGAATCTCTATAACCACTTCCGAAAAATGCCACATTCCCTATAAGGTTGCACCCCATTCATTGGCCAAGAGACCAAAGATACTCTTGACCACAACATGCCACAACCTATTAAATTCCTATTGGAATTTAATAAAAGTTTCCCTAGTCCTAAACCCCCTATAATCTTTCTTTTGCGCACAGCTACGGAGCTACCAATTAATCAACTGGTCCTTTTTAGTGCACCCAAGTCCCAGAAAAAACCCCTCATATTCTTCAATTCTTGGCAACAAGGGCAGAGATTACACAGAGAAAAATAGACATATAAGTTGGCTATAGTTGAGTTAATTAAGGTAATTCTAACTCCTAGACTCCTAGTGAGAGTGAGATGTAATTCTTTTTCCACAACTAGTTTTTTTGAGAACCTATCAAGGACAGGGCTCCAAAAATATACTACATCTAGGATTTCCTCCTAAAGATAGGTCCAAGTACCTCAAAGGCTACTCAATCAAAGAACAACTCGAGAGATCAGCATATGTCCCCATTATCATCTCCTCCATACTAGTGCCCACTATACATCCTTTCCCAAGTTGTTTCATTAACAATTTTCTACGTCATAACAGTACCACATTCATATCAAGAGTCTCAAAACATTTTACTTGGCATTAAAGGGGCCCATTCTCATCAATGTATTTATACATTGCAACAGAAATATACACCTGAGATTCTTGATGACATGGGTCTCTTTGATGCTCAGCCTACTGATTTTCTTAAGGAGCAAAATTTGATGCAGACCACCGCTCATGGTGAACTCTTACAGAACCTCACTTCTTACCAGCATCTTATAGGAAGCCTTCCTTGTCTTGCCATTACACACTCTAATATCTGCTCTCTGAACTTGAGCAAATTCATGAAGCAGCCTCATAAGCCACATTTTGAAGTTGCTATGCATGTTTTGCGTTATTTAAATTTTAAAAGTGCTCTCCAGGTCAATATCTTCTTCTATAATTTTTTTTTTTATAAAAGAATATCTTCTTCTATAATCCACTAGTTCTTTGAAATTGAAAGGTTTTTGTGACTCTGGTTGAGCTAGTTTTCCAAGGACTGAACACTCAAAAACATATTACCATATAATCATAGTTGTCAAGGCGACGCCTAGGCGACAAGGCGCCCTTGGAGGCTTGCCTCACCCAGTCGCCTAGCAGTTTTGTATACTGTCTTATAAAATACTTTTATATTGTTACTCTTTTGAGATTATAATTATAAAATAGGCATTATTAAACAAAAATATTCATTTTTTGTGTTTATAAACTAATTTCTTTTTATTATTTTCTTATTTGTTAGGGTTTAATCAACACAAACATTGCTAACTGTTGTATTGAACCCTCAAAGACTTCAAAATTTGAACCAAGAAGTAAGGGAAAAACATAAAGTTTTGTCTAATCAACACATTTCTTCCTCTTCTTCTTCCACCTTTTCTTTTCTTCTTTTCCTATAACAAAAATTGGGGTTCAGTCCCCATATTTATTGAATTTTCTTTTCTTTCTTATTTTTCTTCTCATAAATATGTTGATTTCTAGACATAAACATGAAGTTTATAATTTTATTATGAAAATTATGTATAGTTATTAAGGAAAGATGGTTATGGAACCTAGGGAACTACCTAGGATATGTATTTTTCACTTAAAAAATCCATCGCCTAGGCAACACCTAGGCGCCCGCCGCCTAGGCGACTAGGCAACAAGGCGCCCCCCTGTCGCCTAGCCTCGCCTTGGCGCCTTGAAAACTATGCATATAATATTTTTATTTACCTGTAACAGGTTACTGTATGATACTAGGCAACTCTCCCAAACCTTGGCAGATTGAGAAACAACACAAGTATCTTAGTATTCTATAGAAGTCAAATGTCATGTCTTGCCTGCATCTTTTGAGCTAACCTGATTATTCAATCTTCTCCATGATCTTGGTACCCCGCATTCATATCCAGCCAAACTAGATGATAGTCAAATTCCACGTGTGCATTCATGGAAAATAGAGTTGGGTGTTCTTGACATTCACACTTCAACTTGAGGGGGCGTACTGGGGAAGCGTGATGTATTTGGATTGTAATTACATGTAAATATACAGCAATTTAGGCAGACTATGCATATATAGGAACTAGTTAGCTCGGTAAGAAACTAATTCCCATGATAGAGAAATTTAGACTTAACACTTCTTGAACATGTTTACAGTGACTCGCATAATTTAATGCACTTCAACTATACCATTTTGGTCGATACAAAACGTGACCTCTAGAAATGAAATCCATTTTACGTTAACCAATCAATAGATATATGCAAAACGACTACAGGCTAGCAATATAAAGAAATTATCAAGGCTTGCAGTTGATAATTAAAACTTTCCGAAAACCATCAGAATAAGCAGCACTAGAGAGAAAGAGTTTGTTTTTTAAGGGGAGATGAAAGCGTACTCAGTAACAGAAAGGATCTGTTTGTCGGGATCGGTCTGAGAAGCAAAGGAGCTTTTGCTTTGCTCTTCCTGTAGGGCGAGTTCCGTTTGCTTGAAGCCCTTCTTCTTCAGGTATGCAATCACCATTTTCTCGATTTCCTCGTCCTCCATTTCACCGCCAAAAGAATACAAACAGCTACACAAAACCCAGAACGACAGACCGGCAACTCCAAACTTCTACTCCTCCAGCTCTCCCTCTCTCTCACTCTCTCCCCACACACAGTGTTTCAGAAAGCTATGACAATGGTTATCCCGTGTCGGGATCAGAATCGGGGTCGCGGACTGTTTCGCTGGATCGAAATTAACCGAAATCTGAGGAATCCCGGATTTTTAACGCGTATTCTGAGTATTTTCTTCGGATTAGGGCTTCCCAGGTCTCTGACCCGCAGGAATCCCTGATTCCTTGGCAGAAGGGCGCGAATTGGGATCTGCTCCTCACACAAGGCGCCCCACACTGACCTTAAGGCACATCTTACCGTGCATTGAGAGCATCTCTCGTGTATACAACGTATAAATATGGAAGATATTCTAAATGCATGATGGAATGTGCCTATGAGGTCGGTATGAGGCGCCTTTTGTGAGGAGCAGATCCGATCTCGAAGGGCACACTCGCACACACACACGGAGCCAAAGAGGCGAACCCACTCAAACGGTCAAACCAGAGTCCCTTGGGCCTCAGCTCAGTCCAGCCGGACCGTTAGATCGTTTTAACCGGTCCTGAAAGAAACGCCCGGACGATTTTCAATTTCAACCCGTCTTTACCCAGTCGGTTAGACGAGTGACCCGGTGAGTCAGTCAAAACACCGGTTCACACGCTACTTTGCAAAAAAAAAAACAATGATTCAATGACCCGGCCCCGGGTGGTCACAACTCACAAGTCACAAATTTGTCTACCCCATTCATTAGGTTAGTATGTGCAAAAAAAAAAATCATCAGGTTAATAGGTTTTATATTGTTTTATTTTTAAAGGTAAAATACAAAAACCTTTCCTAAAATTTCTAACAATAATAAAAACCTCCCCTATAATTTCATTGTAATAAATACCTCTCCTAAATTTTTGAGAAATTCAACAAAAACCTCTCTTTTGTCATTGATTCAAACGAAAAACGTTAAATTGATGTATCAATTTTTTTTAAATACCAATTTTACTCTTTCGTAAATTATTTTACATACAAAATTACTTAAATAACCCCATTTTAAACTCAACAGACACCCCTTTTGATTTTTATCCTCTTCCTTCGAACTCCCAATCCTAAACTCCATCGACACCAAGATAGAGGAACCTTGCTCAAAAACTTCATCAATTCTAAGGGAGGGATCCTATTCTAAATTCATCAGAAAGAGAAAAACTCCAAAAGAACATCGAATCTTTCAATTTTCCAACCCTTCAAACCTTGATCCATTGACTAAGGAAGAGAGGAACATCTTTCTACTCTTTGTCAATGATTCTTTCACCGTTGATTCTTACGATTTAATCAACCACCTTTGCTTATCTCACTACTGAAACCTATGCCTATAGGGAAGTGAGACACCGTTTTGCATCATATTGGGGATTGTATCATTCTCTAGGTCATTTTATTTTACTTTTGGATTTTTTTTTTGTTTGAAAATTCTAAATAGCAACTAGATTGTCATAAACATCTACATCTGCAAATCAAATTTGAGATCTAGGTGTACAGATGCCATGCACCGCATGCTAACAATGATCAAATTTCAAGCCATTCAGATGCCATTTCATGAACAACCATGTCTCAAAGACAATGGAGAGACCCACGGATATAGAAATTGGTTTCCGGATTTAGCAAACTTCAAAAATTTGATTCCTGAATCAATTTTGAAAATGCCTCAAGTTTCACAACAATTTTTAAGTCTAGAGTCTCAAGACTCTGACGATTTGATGATTTTTGAAATGGAAAAAGTGGAAGTTGTGAACTTGCTCACATGGCTGATGACAATGCTAAAGAACAAAAAAAAATGGATAAAGAAAAAGTACCATCAAGCAAGTTAGCAGGAAGCCCTTTGTGCAGCAAGAAGAGTTCGTCATGTTGTTGAATTCCTGATTGAGGAACAAATAATTTTCATTTGTTCTTGTTGGTAATCAGAAATCAAACGAATAATCGGAGTCCTACTTACAAGGACCCCTTGTAAGTAGAGAAGAGCCTTATTATCGTAGAAGATTGAGGGGATTTGTAGCAGCCAAGCATTTGAGCAAGATGACGTTTGATTGAGGGCAAATATGGTATTTTACGATATGCTTAAATGATGTATGGGGGTAATTTTGTAAATGTATACATTCTCTATTTGGGGTCAATGACAAAATGGAGGTTTTGTTGAGTTTCTCAAAAGTTCAAAGGAGGTATTTACTATAATGACACTATAACCTGTTTTTAATTTGTAGTTGGGACACATGTGATGCATGGGTTTTGTTAAATGAAATTAAAAATATAAGAATCCTTATGACATTCACAATTGAGCCAATCTAAGGGGTGTTCTCTAATATGGATGAAAAATTAGTGGGTGTGGATTAGTCCACACCACACATGTTGATTCCATACATCTTATACACAATTTGTGAGATAAAAAATTAATCATAAATGAAAAAAAAGCATAATTTAAGCCAAAAATAATTTGAAATAATAATATAAAATAATAAATAAAACATAACACCAATATATACTTACTAATAAATATAAAATAAATATATTTTACAAAATCATTTTGATGAACAAAAAATGGAGATAAAAATAATTAAAATGGTTAAATAGTTAGAAAAAAATCACTATAATATTATCTTCAACAACAAACAATTTAAAGATGAATTTAACTATAAATGAAAACATGTTAAAATGTTAACAAAAACGAGGGTGTTTAAGCCAATGTAACATAAGTGTGTTATATTGAATCCTTCCCACAAATTGTCCACACCATGATGTGGCTCATTCACGATAAAAGTATTGACGATAAATTGAGGTGTAGTCCGTCCCTATCCATGCTATTTTGTGGACGGGACTAAAACGGTCCTATCCACAATATATTCACAATATCGAACACCCCCTAGTTTAACTTCAACCTAGAAATTATTTTGGAGTCATGTCTATTGTCTAACCAATCTGATCACAATCGAAGAACAAGTAAGAGTGGTTAATTTTCTATATACATATCATTTTTTTAGTTAATTTTAACTATTTAACGTTACTTTCATTCTCTTGTACCAATGAGAGTGGACAAACTAATGAGTATTAGTCCAAGTCGAACACCTAATAAGAATGGCTAATTTCCTATGTGCATATCCAATTAATTTGATTGGATATAGGTAGATCCAAGTTTGATTAATTTATATTCAAATTCAAATCATATCTTATCCATAAATTTTATGTTGGATTTGGATTGGATTCAGATTAGAAAATGGATATTCAAAATGAATAAATAAAATAAACTAAAAATTATCAAAATAGTATATAGTATTAACAAAATGAACTATTCCCTAGAAAAAAATGAACTAAACATGACTTTAATATTATATTTTATGATCAAAATTAATTGAAAAATGCTTATATAAAACTTGAACCTATTAAATTTAGAAAAAAAATCGTTGCCATCCCTAGTCCAAAGAAAATCAAAATTTAAAAGTTTCTTTCTTTGGCTTTGAGTTTGTTATAAGTTTTTTTAGCTAATAGGAGGGCATTGCTACTAGCCTAAAAGAATGCTTAACCTAGTAGAGAGACTTTCTAGGTATGCATGATCTTATAGTCCACTAGTAGGTGTCCACGTGCATTTGCGCATGAAAATTTCAGATAACAATAATAATTTTAATATCCATATTAGAACCCATTAAAAAATAAAAAGAATTAAAGCATAGTGTGTTGGTGGATTTAAATTCATTATTACATTTTATTTCCATTTGGTAATAACAATAGTTTATATTTCTTATTTTATTTTTGTTTAATATGATATATATAATATTAGAGATGCGCATAATTTTTTGACAAAACTTTATATTTTATATAATTTTTTATTTCAATCTATAAGAAGGCAAACTTGCATATATGGTAGTATTGTGAAATATGGTGGTTGACCATGGTTAATCATTGGGGTGTATGGATAAGGACCTAACTATTGATTGTGGCATGCTTTCATGGACCATGGTGTACCACCTATTCACTTTTACAGAAACTTGTAGGAACAAGATGTACAATCCCCATATAGCATGTTTGATACATTAGGGTATTCTATAAACGACACGTGGTTGGATCATGAGGAGGTGACAAGAACAACTTGCATAGGCCAGTAGTTGGCCCCACTCCACAACCTAATGTGTGTCCTTGTTGAACCAGTGTAGGGATTTGAGACTTAACTAACTTAAGAATGTTCTATAATATCCTTTTCCATGCACACATGCATAGTCTCCTTATCAATAAATAGGGCTTCAAGGAACAAAGGAGACTTTTAACATCTTATTTCCCCAATGTTTAATATCTTCCCTGGTTGAGACCTTATCTCTTTGAAACCCTAATTTCTCCAATTTTCTATCTTCTCAATTTTAGAGCTCAAACCACTTAAATAACCGCCTCACACTAGCTATATTTGAATTTTTTATTATATTATTATGACATCATTGATTGACCCATTTTGCCCAAATAATTGGACCACTAGAGATGCAAATTGGGTGGGTTGGGCTAAGTTTAAGCTCAACCCCTGTGAATTGGGCCTAATGCTCAAGCTCGGGCCAAGCTCAAGGTTAAACCTAATCTACCTAGCCAAGTCCTAAGCCACATTGAAATTTGGTGCACTTGGGTTTGGCTCATCCTAGTTAATTATCCCGCACTAAAATTTGATACAAACGTATGTATGTAAGAAAATACATATGAATATATGCATATGTTTGCAAATATGTGCATATGTATGTATCTATGCAATTGGGTGGGGCTTGAGCCCAACTGAAAGAAAACAGAAAAGCCCAAACTTATAGACCTAGGCCCACCCCAAGGATTGAAAATCCAAACCTAGCCCATTAAAATTGTGGTCTGGGTCAATCCAAACTATATTTGTGCCTACCCAATTTGTACCGCCATGGACCTTCAACCACCACTTCATCGAAAAACAATTTTATTTTTCGAGTTAGTTTAATTTCTTATTCTATTTCTATCATTAATAAAAATCATTTTTATTTATCAATTTTATTTTGTTTAATACGATGAATACATGGAATTAAAAATGTACCCAAATGTTTACACAAAATATATGTATTTTTTAAAAAATGTTGTGTTTCTATCTTTTTTGATTTTTTTATTATTTAATTAAGAAGCCATAGGATGACCTATTTGACCTAAATAGGAAAATGGTTTCAT